GGCTCCGGCTCCGGCTCCGGCTCCGCCGGGCCCAGACCCGAGGCGAAGGCCGCGCTGTCTTGCGGCCGAGTGACCGCCGTGTTCGTGCCTTTATTGCCCAACCATAAATGTTTTCCCCCATAATTTTGTTCTGCCCTAGAATCATGGAGTCATTAAAGATGGAAGAAGCCTTTAAGATCTCTCCCTCCGACCGCGCTCCCGGCACTGCCACTGTAACCACTGAACCACAGCGCCCAGCGCCAGGGATGGTGCCTCCACCGCCTCCCTGGGCAGCCCTTCCCAAGTATTTTCACCAAACAATGAAAATACTTAATCCGAATCTCCCCTGTCTCAGCTTGAGGCCGTTCCCCCCGCTCCTCTGTAGGCCCAGCAGAAGAGCCCGATCCCCAGCTCACAACATTTCCCTTGGTTGTAGAGAGCAGTGAGGTGCCCCCGAGTCATGCCTTTGTGCCTGTATTTGTCCTCCCCATGATTGTGCTTTATTGCCCAACCATAAATGCCTCCCCCTCATAATTTTGTTCTGTCGTTACGTTTGACTGTTTCCCCTGGAGCAGCTCTAAAAATAGGGGCTGCCATTAGAACCTATAGGTTTTTGCACTTTCAAAACAGTGTAGTGACCAATGATTTAAATCTGTACAGCATATACAAAATTGATTGGATTCCAGGGTCTTGGTATCTGAAAACACTGAAAAATGCACATACTGCACAGCTGGGCAATTCTCAGGTTTCCAAGGAAATTCCTCACATCCCTCACGGGATGTTTGCCAATGACAAACTCTGACTACCTATTTTATATGTTATAGTTGAAGGGATGCATTTCATGCCCTACAAATTGATGATGCTGGTGCCATGTGTTCAGCATGGCACTGCCTAGAAGAGCTCTGCATATTTTTCAAGGCCAAACTTACCTGTTTGCAGTGACATTTGCTAACCTACATTCTTACATAACGCTGTGCTTAGTATGCTTTATAATCCTGTTTTCTCCTAACTTGTCCTGAAAGGAGAAGAATTAGGTGGGTTTTCATTTGATGGTTCTATTAATTTAATAGAAAATTGCTATGTTTCTCAGCAGTCATGAGTTGGCTTTGCTAGAGTTAAACCCCTTTAGTAAGTACTTCTCTGCTGGAGCAAAGTTAGACACAATTCTTTGAAGAAGGGGCCCCTTTGCAGCTGCCTCTGAGATTAACAGTACTGGGCTTTTAAAAAACAATAGTTTAACTTTGGCACCAAAAACCTTTGCTTGCCATGCTAAATAGAAGGGGTTAGGCTTTATTTTCACAAGTTTAAAATACTCAGTGTAGCTCTGAAGCCTGAGGTGGAAAAAAAAGCCTTCTATTTTCTTTCCCTCAGGAAAAGAGTTATGCAGAGAATGTGTGAGCAGATAATAGACTAATTCAAACCTTCAGACCAGATGTCTTCAGAATCACACTATCGCTCAAATTAAAGCATAAACAAACATTTGTGACTGACGTAGCTCCTTCAAATAGGCAAATGCCTCGGTCAGGGTTGCTCATTTTGGGACAGACTGAGAGAAAGCAGAGTCAAAATGAAGAAGTTTCTTGTGTTTGTCTCCTTTTTGGTCCTGCTGACCACTGTTACAGGTAGGAGTTTATATCAACAAACCTGCATATGTGTGGAGAGCTGAAGAGCATATAAATTGTATTAGTTTGTCAACCCTCTATTTTACTATTCATTTTTCATGCATTTTCATATATTTAACACTCAACTATTTTTATATTTCAGGCTTTCCTTGATTTGATTTTTAATAATCATGATGTTGTATTTGATATTCAACTCTCTTCATTACCACACTGTAGTCATTTCTTATAAACCCCCAAGTTTTAGTTATACTTGCTTACTATTTTAATATTATTTTACCAAAGTCCTGAAAGTAGAATGTTCAATGCAATCTCTTCTTTGCAATGTCTCTAACTCATTACTTTGAAAACAATCCTGTACAGCAACACAGAAGAGAACAAAGAGTTGGAAGGGCAACTAATGCCAGTGGTTTGCTGGTGGTGTTATATTTGCTCATTTTATACTAATATGACTATGTGGACTTTGCTTCACACTAGTAGAACGAGAGAAAACACAAGAATAAAAATGATTTAAAATTCGACTCCTATCTCTTGGAATGCAATATTTGCTGGGAAGGGTCTGTAATGAAAGAACACTTTGTATATAGAAAAAAAAATCAGGTTTGGAGACATTTCATTTCACAAGTGACAAATAATTTCAGGACTAATTTCTGCTGTTCTCATTTTAGACACTTCACCAATTTTGTCTGAAAAAGATGCCAAACAGATGCTGAGGACTCGTCGTGAAGAGAGACCAAGAAAAGCTGGTTTCCCTGATGAACCAATGAGGGTGATTTATGATATTTACTATTAAATTACATTAACTAAAAAAACCCAACACCAAACCCCCAAAACATTTATGCTTAGTATTAAATTTCTATTGCTTCCAGGCTATATGTTATGAATATCACCCTTTAAAGCAGCTGAGTTCTTCCATGAAATATTAAAAAAACCTTTAAATTCTTTCAAATTACAGTTAAAAGCATTCTTTGAGTGCTGAGTATTGCTCAGGAAATGTTCACTTGCAGAATGAGGAGATTATTTATCATGGTTCAAAAATACCAGTCAAATTAGTGAGAACAATGTGGCTTTTAAATTATATGGATATGGATTTCATCAGCTTGTTCCTGAAAAACCAAGTAGCAGGAAGTGTCTTCTGCTTCCAGTACATTCTGTACATCCATACTGCAGGCAGAGAGGAGATGGAGGTGTCAGTAGTCAGCATGGAGACTGAGGTAGTTCTCAACCAGCTTTAAAAATCACTTACTTTCATTGACTTACTTATGGATGCTACAGATAGGATGGTTTTTTATGATATTGTAAAAGTTTTTAGTTGCTGGCTTAATGCAACAGCTTTGGGTTTGCATGCAATATCTACATTTATTTCTTTCTAAAGCCTATTACAACAAAAGAAAAAGTATTAAAGAGCTTTCTGTTTTCCTTGCTTTGACAAGACCTAACACAAAATCCTGCACTTCTCAAGGGTACTTAAGGTATTTTAAAACTACTGCCTATTTCTTTCCAAGGTAAATAAACTGAGCTAAAATTACATGGTTCTGAAGAGGCAAAGCCCACAGAAGCCAGGAGCACAAAGATTGTGCGTGTGACGAGCACAGGGGGCTCAGTTTAGCAAGGTGCTGAACACTTCTGGACTCCATAGGACATGAAGGATGCCTTGCAGGATTGTAGAAACAGCTCCTGGTTTTCCCTTTCCAGTGGGTAATGTACACCAGCCAAAAAGAATCCACCTGCCCAACACTGGGTGAACACACTGTTTGTCAAAGGGGACACTACGACAAACCAAAGTTGTCACAAGGATATTGCTCTGTGCTTGTTGACAACCTTGTACACTGGAAATTGCACAGCACAGCCAAAAACCAGAAGGCTGCACTGCTGCCCACAACACTCAGGACTGGGTTGGTTTGTAAGTTGTTAAATGAGCCTTGTAGTTTTTGCAAATTAACAAGAATACAGCTCCCATCTGTCCTTATGCTTAATATACCACCACCATTAAGGGTATGTGGTAAATATAACAAATATTGAATATAGAATAAATGAAGCAGCAGAAGAGTTGGATTCAGGTAATTCCTGTAGGGCAAGAAGCTACATGCATGCATGCAATGTTGTCTAGACTAAACTAGTTTATTTTTAGGTGGTCCTTGAGGAGCAGGGAGTTGGACTTGGGGATCCTGATGAATTCTATGATGTTGCGTGTGGGGAGGGGAGGGATTCAGGGCTAAAGAGATGTTGGATTTCTGACTCTGCTGCTCTGTCCTTGCAACTTTCTGTCCTACCACAATTAGGAACAAACACTTTTCCAGAAATTCCAACCTTCTTTTATTTATTTTCTTTTATTCTTTTATGTAGAAAGCAAAGCTGACCCTCTGTAAGAAAATCCAAACATAAGAGTATTTGTTTGGCTCCCTAAATGTCAAGGTTTTCAGTAGAAAAGGAAACATCTGATGAAATAAAACAATCCTCATTGCCTTGTGGAACGTAGATATTTTCCACGTGAATGAGGGTGCATGGCTGCTGCATCCCTGTGCACAGCTTGTGCACATGGACTCAAGGAGAAAAACTGATTTTGTATGGGTGCTTTGTAGCAGAATGAAATGAATGCTGGGATGAACCCATCTCTCTTCATCTGTTTTAAGCAAAAGCTGTTTGTACTGGGCCAGATCATGCTGAGCTGGGGAATGTGATTTGCAATTCTTTGTGACACTCTTTGACTTCCACAGGGCTGCTTGAGTCAAAAACCTGTTCAGTTACAGACAGAAAGATCAGCCCCCTTTAATTATTAAAGAATGTCATTTATGTTATCAGCATGTTTTAAACTTACTTTGATTGAGGGCCTGCTTTTGATAATGTGGCATCCTCTCAGTCACATAGCTCTGTTCTGTGGCAGTTCCTAAGGCAGTCTGTCCCCAGAGATCTGAGCCAGGTCTCTCAGTGCTGTGAGGAGAGAAAGCCCAGTGAAAGGCAGGATCCTGATGCTGGAATACTTGGCCAGTGCAAAGGGTTTAGGCTACAACTTCCATTCCAACAGTGCAAAGCAATGGGGGATTATTTTGAATGAATGTATCTGGTCTTCACAAAGCTCATGAGCCCACTAGGACTGAAACTTTTTGAAAGTAAATTTTGTCCTTGATGGAGGTCAAGTTTTTGGCACACAGCCCACTTTACTTTGATAAATTTGTTGTTGAAACCAAATCCTCTCTCTATAAATTGGTATGGGAAATTCACATTATTTTATTTATCACCAGTCAGCACTGATGTGTGCTACCTGCTAGAACCCTTCAGTCCTGCCACATGATCCTGCAAGGGGTTAATGTTCTTTAAGCAGCAGGAACCAGTTTTCAAAAGGGGCTGTAACAGACCTATTTGTGAGAATCCTTTGTACCTTCAGGCCCAACAAAGACTTCTGTGTCGATATGCAAATAAGAAATGTGTATGCAGAATTCCTAATTTATGAATATTGTTGTATAATTCTTGCTCAACACCTTTACTGATCTGGAGATGATGTAATTCATTAAATATTGCTAGGCTGAAGCAACACAATTTCACTATATTTGATTATTTTAAGGAATAAATTAATGGCTCTTATGTCAGCTGTAGAATTATCCTGGGTCTTTGACCTGACATTAGAATTGAATGATTACACAATTAAATTACCTTTTCTTTTCTTTAAATAGGAGTATATGCTTTACCTCCAGCGCTTGGAGCAGAGATCAGAAGAACAATTCCTTGAACACTGGTTGAATCCTCATTGCCTCCCACACTGCAACAGGGACCTGGTGCACCCAATCTAAGGGGTTTGCCTACTCTGCAACTGATATATATATATATATATATATATATATATATACATGTGTTAAGGAGGACAAGATTATTCCTGCATTGGCTACGTGCTCACTGTAGAGCAGAACCTCTCTGTAGTACAGTGCAATCCTCATGATACAGCAGAACTCCCAGCTCTAAGTGGCTTGATGAGTTATAAACAACCATGTATTTTCTACCAGCAATGATTGCATGCATGAACAACTGAATTGAGGGTTTCCACAGTTTCTGAGGCAACTGATTAGTCCTAGAGTATCCTTTTAAGGGCACAGGTTTAGACTGCCTGAAGCAAAAAGGAACTTGGAGGGAGAGGTCAATAGAAAATTGCAGAATACCAGCCAGCTTTCTGGGCTTTGGAGTAATCCTTAATTACAGTTTTCTAGGTTAAATAACAGTATCGCACGAAGACACAACATTTATGTCACACACTGTCTTACTGCCTGATGAGTATTTCATGCATTGTTCCATAATAAAAGCTTGAGCCAATTCCATTTGCAGATGATTTTGTTCCCTTAGTCTCCCATACTAAACTCACTGGAAGTGAGGCTCAGTTTTGTGTAGAATTAAGGAAACATCAGAGGACTTTCTAGGACCAGCAGCTGGGAAGCACTATGGTGCAGACTAATAATTGTGTAGTTTCTCTGCACAATTATCCCTTCCCCTTGTAATTCTTCCAGGAGGGGCAAATGAATCCAGCCAACCCTTTCCTGCCTGAGAGCCTTTATAACTTATACCTTGGAGAAGAGTATCTTGTACATTCAGATGGGAAACACATGATACCTGCAAAACAACATAAAAAATGGCTCTTAAATGTTGGCTGTGGTCTGTAATGGCAACAGAATTAGTTATGAATGGAGCAAAATAACTTTCAGAGCTCCTCACTGCAGTCACATTTGAAACCTGAGGACTGGGAGCAAAATAAACCACAATTTTATGAATAACTATAAGATAATTAGTGCTACAGAGCTTTTGATAGACTGAAATAGATCAACAGTTTTTCTGGTATACTTTCCTTCCAGTAAAACATCTCTCCTAGATGACTCCAAGGAAATAATTTAAATCTCAAAGCATCAAAGGCTTGCTTTCCCCTACTGCCAAGATAAATCATAGATTAAATCTGTGAGTGTGAAAAAGTATAATGAGGCTGCTATTGTGTGCTTCATTCATAACTCTCTGAACAGAGAGATCTAAATTTGCATATCCCCGAGTTAAAGTCATTAGGTGAAATCCTGTCTGTTTTTATTTGCACAGTGAAAAATTCATTTGATGACAATTATGTCAACTTTCACCCTGTGAAAGTCAATTTTCAAGTACTTTGAAATAAAAGAACTCCCACCTAGTTATACTCAGGGAAGGTTAAGTAGAAGGTTCTACTCAGTTCTTCTCAGTAACACTGAGATAATCCTAAAGCAAACATGGAACAGAGATTGTTCATTGCTTTGAAGTTTGCTTTTCTACATGAGGGTGGAAGGATCTCATGTAGGTATCTCCAATGAAAAGTAAAGTATTATTAAGTCTAATTAACAAGTAGAAAGCTAGAAATATAGAAGGATGAAGTACTTCTGATCACTGATTCACATTCTCTGCCACTTCATAAGGGAAGGAATTATATGTAGTGTTAAAAGCCTTTAGCCCACATTGGTGTCAGGCTGATGGCCAATATGTCAAAACTCATATTGGCACTCACATTCAAATCAAACCCGTCTCTCTTGTATGTATCTACCCTTCTGTTCTGGGCTAGAACTGACCACTGAAGAACCTCCTGGTCCCTCAAGGCAAGAAAAGCAGCAGACACCATAGAAGAAAGTTTGAAACATAGCGAATAAAGGGAGAAAAAAATAAGTGTGAAGGAAAGGCGAATGAATAAAAATGTTGAAGTTAAGAAAAGAAACCCTAAACCCTATGAGTGCCTCTGGAATCCTGTGATCATGAAGAACATAGCCAAGTTATTGCTTTTTAAGACATCCAGCTCTTCTGCCAGATTTAAGAAGCCAAGTGAACTCTTAATACAAATTAATTTTGCAAGTAAACACAGAAACACCCTCCAGCCTATGGGAGAGGCAGCCAGAGAATAGGAGCCCAGCAAAACAGACTTTAATAAGTTTGCTCATCACTGGCAAACACTGAAAGCTAAAGAAAGAGTGAAGGCGTGTGACTGCTTTAGACTATTGCCATGGATGCAGCAACCCCTCATCCAATTGTGTACTTCTGTAGGTCCATAAAATACACACAGTGTTTTACACAGAATCCAGGGACCTAACAAAAGAACAGGATCTTAGGATCAGGTATAAATAAATTAGCTCAAGAATTTATTGTGACTCAGCAGTGAAAAAAATCTCATAGATAATTAGCATAAAAACCAAACACTGCATAAATATACTTAGTTATAGCTACAGAATTATGTAATTAAGCTTTTTTTCAGAGTCCTTCAGTTTGTTTTTATTCTCTTCCTCTACACAGATCTTTCCTCCAAAGCTCTGCTGTGCTTGAATTCCTCTATAGCTGAACTAGATTGAATGCATTCAAGGATTAGTTGCAGGTTTGTTTTTGTCCATGTTTAAACTCTCAGGGGAAAATGCTGGACTTTCCTACATGCCTGCAAACCAGAAGAACAAGCATTCTGAAAGCTGTATACTGAAGGTGAGAAATCTGGAAAAACAGTTGTCTTCCAAATGCTTTTAAAGAGAAGGATTAAAACAGACCTGGGAAAACCTTTCATCCACGATAAGCATAATCATAATCTCCAATCATTGACCTGTTTTACATCCAGTGCTTTTTCCAAGCTGAGGAGCTGCCCACTAGATGCCACTGTTTCTGCACACAACCAGGATCACAGCCCACAAGGACTGTGAAAGCTCCACATCTCTCTTCCTTCTGCTTGCTTTTTAACTCCTTTTCTTAAAATGTTCAGCTTAATTGATCAAAATCAAAAGTCACCTCTAACTCATAAAATAAAGACCTTCAGCAAATGTCTGATTTTTTCCCCCCTCTGGATTGCAGAGTGCTCTGAGTGTGGATGTAGGTGTGGTTGTGCTTCATTATGCCACAGAAAGAAATGGTTGAAAGTTCCTACAAGCACATTGTAGTGGTTTGTGGCTTTTTACTGCCTGCCATCCACACACAGATGCTAACAGAAGATTCTGTGTGTTTGCAGAAGCTGTTCCCTCTCAGAGTAGATCATTTGATCTATGTTCAGTTACCCCAAATTAAGCTGCAGACTGATCAGTTGGTAAAAACATCACTCTTCAAGGCATGACACAATCTTCCTACATTTATTATCTTTAGCAGCATGGGGAGCTATGTGTTAGGTGCTGTACAGAGTGTACTGAAAATGCAGACTGTGCCCAGGGCCAGAAATGTAGTGTCTCTCTATAAAGAGCAGATAAATAATATTTCCTCTTATTTAAATAACAGCAATTCATTGAAAAAAGGCAAAGGCTGGGATTTTGAAAGCATCAACTTGTTCAGCAAGGCCAGAAGTTTTTATCACAGACAGATGAATAGGACATGAAGTAGTCACACTAATGCCACTAAGCAATTTGGCAGCTAGCAACTAATTGGCTCTTTCTACCAGACTTACCTTGCAGGAAAACATGCACCAGGAGTTCTTATTTACCAAGATTGGAATTTCCAGAAAGCTCTCTGGAAGCAAGCCAGTCACTTGCTTTATTTAAAATTCACTTTCACAGTTGTGAAGTTAATGGAAAATGCAACAGTAAATGTACCAGTTTGCAGTTTAGATGATTCAGTATTTGTCTGCTTCTCTGGGAAGCTGAGCAGGTGAGCACATTCTTCCACTCACAATGACAGGACAGCTGCTCTGGTGCATTTCTGAAACATGAATGTGAAAAAGAGTTACAAAGAAAATGCCTATAACTCTCTGAAATGATGATATAATATGTATGGAAATGTTTCCCTGCAGTACTCCAGGGCCTTTTTTTTTTTCTTTTGCAATTCCCTTCCCTTTTTCAATTGTCAGAATATTGTTTTGAATTAAGACTTCTGTTGCTTCCAGTGAATGAATGCATAAATAATTTCTGAAGCAGTGGACTGAAATTGGATTGATTGAATGTGATCACTGCAGTAGGAGCCTACTTTAGATTCTCAGTGAGAACTTATTTTTTAATGACTAAAGAGATCAGAGTGGATTTTAGAAGGTTTTCTGAGCCTTTTATGGTCTATGAAGAGTAGAAGATCTTGTGAGAACTATGTATCTTGAGATTTCTGGTGAGTGATTAGAAATGCTGAGTGATCTGTCTCCTATCTGGCATTTTAATCCTTTTTCATGTCTGGGGGTAGAGATGTGCACTAAAATGAGAAAGAGTAAAAAGCAGAAAAGGTTCAATGAACTCAGAGTTAATAAAACTCTCCTTATTCTAGCAAAGCAGCAAGGCCAGCCCAGTGTCAGCTCAACATGAAACCAAAAGTTTGGAGCACTGGTGTTATTCCAAAACTCAAACTCATCTTTATATTTTGTTTTTTTTCAGTAAGAGATGATCAGTTGAAGTGCTTTTCTTTTTTCCACATTTGGGGAGATTTGGATCTAAAGATCCATTTGGGCATCTTTCTATATAACACAAACATCATGTACATACATTTATTAAACTGAGTGAGCCAACCTTAAATACAGGAGATCTTAGACCAAAGAGGCAGAACATTGCTTCATTTTGTGTTTTGTATTTGTCAGAATGAACAGCAACTATTGAATGATTTCAAGAAATGAATTCAGCAAAATGCTTCAGATGTTCAGAATGTACCTGGCTTAGAGATTTGCTAAGAACCTTTGGTGTGACTCTGAATATGTGCCTGTAGTGTCCATAAAACTGAGAGCAGTCCTCAAAATGGACTGGAATATCTGATCCACAGCACTTCTCCTGTCCAGATATCAACAGAGCTTGATATTCCATCAGTGCAGCATATATTCCTATCTACTTCCCATACCCTGTATAGAATTAGTTCCAGCATCAGTAATAAACTCCTGGGTATTTTTTTAATTTTTTAATTACCAAAATATGGTTTATAAGCACACAAGTAATTAGCAGAGCATTTCCCCCCTCCCCCAGAAAATACTTTGATTAAGGTTCTGAGAAAAAAAGACAACAAAAAAGTGAAAGAGCAACACTGAGTGGCAACCCCAGGAAAAGCCACAAAAAGGGTTTTGTGCTCAATTTATTGGTGCCACACAGGACCTCTGGGCTCTCCTCTGTAGGGAATGGAACACTCCAGCAAAACAGAGTCAGGCTGTTTCTGCAATCATAGAATAATACTTCTACAATAAATTTAAAGGTCCATGGGAAATGACAAGGCATCTGAGGCCAACCTGTATAAAAATTTACTCCTTCATTTCTTAGTTGCCTGGCACTGAACATCTACTCTGAGGCGGCAGATGGAGTTACCATTCATGGACCATCCCAACCCATCAGGTCCTGCTCAGAGCAGGGTGTGTTCATTCCTCACCTTGCTAAAAATGAAACTACAATGACTCA